AACCCTTCAGCCTGACCTGCCTGCAGCTGGACGGCCAGTTCTCAGCCAGTGAGATGGGCCGGCTGCCCTTCCCGACTGTCTAGGGGGGTTTTGCGGCTGGCAGTTCTCCAGGCCCCCCTGTCTCAGCCCCCCTGAGCCTGAGCCCCGTCTCTGGTCGCGGTCGGTGGTGAGCCTGTCTCAGTGGCTCTGCTCTGTGCCATCGCTCACCGAGCCGGGAAACGTTCACAAAGACGCCAACCAGCCCTAGACGCACCCTCACCCGCGCCTTTACCCTCCAGATGCCGATGCCAGTACCGCGTGCGAGATCGTCCACGTCAAGTCGGAGTCAGAAGGGAGGCCGGAGCGGGTGTTCCACCTGTGCTGCGGGTGAGCCTGTGCGAGGAGGGCGGGTGTGGGCGTGGCATCACTGCCTGGGGGCATGGCTATGCAGATCAGAGGGCGGGTGTGGGTGTGGTTGCCCTGCTTTGGGGGCTTGGGGGGCGGTCATGTGTATAGCTATGCAGATTAGAGGGCGGAGTTTGCTGTTTAGGGGGGTATGTGGGTGTGGTTATGCAGATCAGAGGGCGGGGCATGGGTGTGGCTATGCAGATCAGGGGCAGGTGGGTGTGGCTGTGCAGATCAGAGGGCAGAGTTGGGCGTGGCTGTGCTGCACAGGGGGTGGGGCATGGGTGTGGCTATGCAGATCAGAGGGCAGGGTGGGGTGCGACTGTGCTGCATGGGGCGGGGCGTGGGTGTGGCTATGCAGATCAGCGGGCAGGGTGGGGTGTGACTGCTGCACAGGGGGCGGGGCATGGGTGTGGCTATGCAGATCAGGGGCAGGTGGGGTGTGGCTGTGCTGTTCAGATGCGGGGTGAGCCCCAGCCATGCAAATAGCTGGGTGGGACTTGGAGACTGGAGCAGGCCTCTCTCTAACCCTGGTCCTCAGGGCTTGCTTGGGGCTCCTGATGACGTTCGCAGTCCCTGTGCTGGGACAGTCTCCCTAACGCCTGTGACCTCCACAGCTCCCCCAAGAGCCGCAAGGACTTCCTGAAGGCCGTGCACTCGGTCCTCCGTGACAAGCACCGGCGGCAGCTCCTCAAGGCCGAGAGCCTGCCTTCGTCCCAGCAGTACGTCCCCTTCGGAGGAAAACGCCTGTGCGCGCTGAAGGGGGCCCGGCCGGCCATGAGCAGGGCAGGTACTGTGGGCATGCGGGCCGCCGGGACCCCGCCACCCCCGCGCCACTGTAGAGCCGAGGGAGCTGCCATCCTCGTCGGCGAGACGTAGTCCTGGCCGTGGGGCTGACACCGCGGTTCCCGGCGTGAGGCCCCCGCCTCGCCCAGGCTCCCTGGGGACAGCGCTGTGCGTGCCCCTCGTGCCCCCTCCGTCCCTCCTCCTGGCCGCCCAGCCTCTCACCCGCAGGCGGAGCCGAGTGCCTCTCCCGTGGAGGCCCAGCCGGCGGGGTGGGGTCCCTGCTTT